TGCGACTGAGGGTTTTCTCCTGATGCCCCTGGTCTGCTGGAGATGGTCCCCAGCAGACCAGGGGCACCGGAAGCAGCTTTTCTCGCCCCGGAGCTCGAGGTGGCTGACCGCTGCCTGTGAGCTCCGGGGCGAGAAAGCCCCGTTCGTAAGTGCGGATCCGACATAAGTCGGATCCGCGTAAGTCGGGGACTGCCTGTATAGTGGAGTTGGAAAAGCCCAAGCTCTGAAGCCAAGTGGATTTGCAGAAGTGTATTCTTGATATTACTGTCATGTCTGATTTTCCCTGCACATTCCCTGTTTCAGCGCTGGAGGCTGAATACCTGTGATCTGTGGTCCCACTGGTGTATGTATAAGGAATGGCTTGAGCTGTTTTGTAAACAAACAAATGATTCATGCTAAACTATTGTAGATTTTTCTGCTGCCTTCCCTCAATTTTGGGCTTTCTTGTCCCAACCAACGCTTTGGAGCCAGAAATCACCATTCCCACCAAATCAGATGGGTGGCAATTTCTGGTTCCAAAACAGTGGTTGGGACAGGAAGGCCCAAAGTAGAGTGAAGATGTCTAGGATTTCCAGGCATTTTGCCATGTTAGGGAGAAAAGAACCATCTCAGCTTTCAAGGAGGTTCCCTAATGGTTTATTAATCTGGTACTGTTCTGCAGTAGGGTCCCAGCTGTCTCTGTGTCCCTTCCAATTCCAAGATAAAGTTGAAATCTGTACATCTCCTGTTCTTACTGACTATGTGGGAAATAATTTCCTGGTGTTAGTCATTAAAGTGCTACATGACTGCTTTTTTTTCTTTTACCAAGATCAGACTAACATGACCTACCTCTCTGTTACTTTGCTTCTTTCCTGACACTATTAAATGCATCAGGTTTGTCTGTGTAGTTGATGTTTATGGAAGTCCTAGGGATACCCAAGACTATGGAAAAACTGGGGTAAATTACAGTTGTTGACTGTCCGGCTGACAATAGCATTTTGGAATACAGTTTCATGTAACTGGTGTTTATAAATTGTGGAGTCAGACGGGGGCAAGAGCGAGTAGTTACATGAGGGTGAAATTAGTACTACATAGCAGAATTCTGAGAGGGCTGAGGTACTTCAGTAATAGATATAGCTTATCAATAATGCCGTTCACTGAATTAGCATATGAACTTTACATACATAATGGCATATGTCTGCTTAAAACTGCCTATGATTTTATGAAGTAGTGTTAATTATTTCTATTAATTTTTATTTATTATTTATTTTCTATTAGGAAGTTTACTCTAAGGGAATAATTCTGCTCTCTGCGATAGCTACAGTTAGAGTCAATGGAGAAAATAAATTTGAAGTTGTCACAGCTCATAGGACTTTTGTGTTCCGGGTTGAAAAGGAAGGTAAGTAGAACACACATATAAATGACAATTGCTAATCGATCATATTGGTGGCTATAGTTAAATAACATTTCTAAAATTTCCGATGTTTGTGTATGAGTGGTGTCATCACAGTTCTAGCAGGGTCACTGGCATGGGTGATGGGTCAAGCTGCTGCTTGGGGAAGCAAGAACTCCACCTTGTGGCCCCACTCATACTTCATCTCTACTCGATCCCAGGACCTGCCCCCTCCATACTGTCTCCCTCCTTTCCTTTTTCCCCCTCCCTGTTCACTCCTTTCCCGCCAAATCCTGACCTCCCTTTCCCCCCAAAGGTAGCAAATAACATTTGGAAAACTAACAAACAATCGTCTACAATTCCTTTTTAAAGAAAATGGAGCATGTTTTCCATTTCATGCCAGATTGTGAAGACTGGACATGCAGAAAATACCTAATTAAAAACACTAAATTAGGGAATATAATATGTCAGTCACAGGTTTCATACCCTGAAGTCTGTCAGAGATGTATTAGCAAAGCTTGGAAGCAAGGGCAATTGGCTGTGCTGCTGAATACAGTGTTAAGTACGATGGAATACAAGAGGCAGCTCTTCTCAGTTTTACCTTTCCTCCATCAGTATGTCTAAGCTGATTTTATATTTTAAATGTACTCTTACACATTCATAAAGTAATCATTCCTGATGACTACACATTTAACACACTGAAACAAAGACATTATTTTAAATTAATCAGTCAGAGCACTTTAATGTGTCCATAACAAAGTTCATTGCTTTTAGAAAAAAGGAACGCTAATTTATTGTGTGTGATCTTCATAAAAATAGACATATTTATGAATTTTCACCATATGTTCATGTTAAAATATATTTCCAAGGATTTTAGACATAACAAAGAATTTAATATCTCGGGCAATGTCTAGACTACAAATTCCTCCCCCTCCCCGAAAAAAGGGGCCTTTCTTGGAAAAAACTTCACCTGCGTCTAGACTGCCGTCGCATTCTTTCGAAAATAAATCAAAACAACACAGCGGGTTTTTTGACAGCAGTAAACCTAATTTTCGAGGAAGAATACTTTTTTTGAAAGAGCTCTTTCGAAAAAAGGCATTTTTGAATGCAAACAGGGCTCTTTCGAAAGAGAACATCCAGATTGCCTGGGTGTTTTCTTTCGAAAAAGTGGATCACTTTTTTGAAAGTGTTATGGCTGTCTAGACAGAAAGAAGCTTTTTTGAAAGAGCTCTTTCAAAAAGGACTCTTTTTAAAGAGACTTGTAGTCTAGACGTACCCTTAGTAAGGTACTACTTTTGCCTTAAAAGTAGTTAATCAAATGGTCAAAAGTAAAGAAAAGTAAACTCATTTGCCTAGCTATCTGGAAGAAAACGAATGTTGTTCCTTTAAGGGCTCTCTTCAATAGGGGGCTGCAATCAGAATAGGGATGAATAGAAAGAACAGGAAGTTTTTAGAAACAAGATGTGTGTTATAGTAATTAAAATGTGTATTTTAGATAAGGGTGGTCTTTTGGAGAATTTATTAAAACAACTGTTTGAAGGGCCAGCCATAAAGCTGAGAACTCAGATTGTGCATCTAAAAATGTATGCAAGTTTTTTTTAGAGATGTGATTTTTATAATCTTTAGCAACAAATTAATGAAATAGCTTAAAATTTGCTTTAAATAAGGTCCTGTAGACACAGTAATGTACAACTGTTTTTGTCATAAATTCAGGGTTGGAACATACCTGTTAAATGGCTTCATTACTAGTTAATGGCTCTTTCACTAGTTCAGTGTTATGCTAATAGGTTTGGCAAGCTGGAAGGCTTTTCTCATGTAAATTAACAGATCCACTTTGGGAGAAGAGACACCAGTCTGCAAGCTGCAACAACCTCCTGTTGATTATTCAGGAATGGTCAGCATAGGGATAGGAAGAGGGGAGAGGTTAAGCACTACCACCTCCCTTTGCCTTTGATATCTGCTTCCCATGGTCACTGGGATCCAGCCATCTTGGGCTCATATGTTGTAGGTTTTTTGTGACACAACTTTATTCCATACCTATTGCTTTCAGTAGACAGTTAGAAAGGGTCCTGATGAACACCAGAAAAAAATGGTTTCACTGCTGTATAGAACAGAAATACTGTCATTTCTGTAGAATTTATGTTCTTAAATGTAAATTTGCATTTTAATCAGATCTGCTGGAACATGTAGATAGTTTTATATTGTTTGCTCAACTCCTTGACAGACTTAATTTATAAAAATCCCAGATTAAAGTACTATATTTGTTAGAAAAAAATAAAAGGGGTGTTTTCCAGAACTTGTTTTTTTTTCTGAGATGCCATAAAGCAGATTTTTCTGGGTAGTCTTCAACATTTACTGGTTCCATTTATAATCTATGTACTCTGTCAACTACTTTGAGTCACTGCTATTAAAATGCCAGTGAGCAAGGAGAAGTTGATAGCTTGGATGTGGAGATCAAAGAAATCTGGGTTAGGTTTTCTTGTGACTTTATTTAATGTCATATGTAAAGTGTTTTCAACTAAGTTTGTGATAGCGAATAAGCTTAAATTTATACTCAAGGCCATAGTAATTTCTCGTGGATTTTTTTGTCATTGACTTGTACAGGGTATTATGCAAAATCAATACCAAAAAGTGTGTGCAGCTTGAGTTATTTATGAAAAAATCCAATACAAATGGAATATTAACTAGAATGTATTTATTTACAGCAGTGTACACTAGCACTGTTGTTGTTAAAAATCTGTCAGCATTTCCATTATCAACTCCCATTTTTTATGGGGTTATAGCTTGGCTATAAACATTTGCTCCAGGCTGTAACTTTGATTGCAGCATCCCAGCCTGTGGAAAAAATCCTTATCGGGTTTGGCTCAAATCATTTCAGGCATTTTTACATTGTTGGCTGGCTTAAAAATAGGTCTTCAATTTTTTTTAAAGGTATTTTTGTTGTTTGTTTAACTGTTGCTTAAAAATATTTTAATTGTAACATGAAATTTTGTGGGGCCATAATCTGCTTTATGTACTGATGCCTTTGGATAATAAGAGAACATCAATACAAATAAATAGTTAATGCTAAGTTTTTTAAAGTGTTCTGTGTGCCTGATACCAAAATTTTTTATATGGGTTACAAATGGTATTTTTCTTAAATGTGCAACCCTCCTTTGACAGAACAGCCTGATTAGGCAGCTGTTGACTTACTGTTTTAAGTAGGTTTTGGACAAATAATATGGTCCATACCAATAACTAGAACCATTTGAAGTATTCAGTAATTTATGCACCCAATTTCCCTTTCCTGTGCCTGCACAAACTGTTCCTGAACCAATCAGAAATGTTCACAGCTGAAAAATATTCAGGATATATTTACAACGGTGCCTGCCATTTGAGGTTTTGCATAAAGCATTCAAGGGCATGATTTTTCAAATAGATTTCAGTCCGAGGCTTGTTTTTGAATGCTTCTCTGTGAACATATTAAAGCATGAATGTGCTTCTTGTTTGGTCACCTAAGTCACTTGTTATAATTTCTGGATTGGGAGATCATAAAACTTTATAAACAGAAAATGGGCTTAAATAAATCAAGGTTCTCTGATTTTCTCATGACTTGTCTATATAGACTTGGCAATAGCAAAATTTAGGTGGATATACAAGTGCTCAGAGTGAGTAGGAGCATATTGTGAAGTAACACTATAAAAAGCATAGAACATTGAGAGCATTTTAGAATATTTACCGTCCTTGTTTTCCTTAGAAGTATTATGCTCTCGCAGACCTAGAGCACAGGCTTCTTGGGAGGAAAGAAAAAATCAGGATTTAAAAATGAGGGGAGGAGAGACTGTCTGTCTGTGTGAAAGAAGCTTTGTAAGCTGCTCACAGTAGACTTTGCATTAATTTTTTGCTTGTTCCGGGTGCACAAAGTTTGCATGTGAGTAAACTAGTGAAGAGTTAGGTCTTAGGCCTTCTCTACACTAATCCCCCCCACCTCTCCATCAATCCACCCTATGCTACTTCAACTACTCATGTAGTGTACTTATAGTGGTGTCTTCGATGTGGTAAGGTTGATGAGAGCTATTCTCTTGTTGATTCTGGCTACTCTTCTTATCACTGTGGAGTAGGGTTGCCAGATGGTTTCAGAAAAAATACTGAAAAAAACCCAACCTAATGACAGGAAAAAGTTTGTTGAGCACACACACACACACAAAAAATGCCCCCCAGAGTTAAGTGAAAAAACCCCAACAAAAACAAAACTTTTAAAACCGCATGGTGAGGCTTTTTGGCCCTAACAGACTGTCAGTGGCCACCCGCCATCTTGCCTCCCTGCGCTGGGCTGGACAGCTCCCCGGAAAGCACTAGGGTTGCCAGGCTGATTCTGTACTGATCTGGAGAGCCTGGGATTTTCACCTGGCTGGGAAAAAATCAGAAAGTACTGGACATTTTAGGTGTCTGGTATTTTCCGAATTTTTTTTATCAGACAGGAAGAGAAAATAATAGACTATCTGGTTCAATACCGGACACCTGGCAACCCTATGGTGGAGTACTGGTGTCACCAGGAGAGTGCTTGAAGATCACCTAATCACATTTAAGCAGATGCAATGTTGATCCACTGCACAGTGAAGACAAGATCTTAAGACCAGGAGAGGGGGTTTAAGACAGAAAATATATACTGCAGTTGGTAAGATGCTGCCCAGTACAGACAGAGACACTAGCTTTGCTTGAGCAAGCATGCTCCAAAGAGCTGTGTAGTTATATGCAGGGCTCAACAAATTATGGAAAACCCTACTCGCCAGACAAAAAAGGGACTCGCCACCCTCCCCCCCAAAAAGTGTTTTTTTAAATGGCATAAATTCCTAATAAGAATAAGAACAGTAATTACTAATAGGTTCTTAATAAATATCACCCAAGTTATTAATAAATATCTTATAAATGTCTACCTTTTCTCTCTGCTGCTGTGTCTCCTCCCCTTGCTCCATCAGCTCCCCTGGTGCCTGCTGCCCCCCAACCCCTCACTCTCCTCTGCTGTCCTGACTCCTGTCCTGATCACTGCCCTCAGCCCTCCTGGGACCTGCCCCCCTACACTTGCCCTTCTCTCCCCTCTATGCCTACTCCTCCAGTAGCCCCAATCTGAATATGTGTAGCCACTCCTCCTCATCCCCTCTCCTAACACCTCCCTCTACACACCTGCCATACCTCTCTCCTCTGGTGCTGGTCCCTCCCTCGAAGGTGTCTGCCCTTCTGCTTCACCCCCAGAATCCTCTGGCACCTTCCATCTGCACTCCTCCAGTAGCCCCACTCTGATCATGTGAGCTACCCCTCCTCATCCCCTCTCCTAACACCTCCCTCTACACCTGCCCTGCCTCTCTCCTTTGGTACTGTTCATCCCCTGCAGGTGCCTGCCCTACTGCTTCACACCCAGAATCTCCTGGCACCTGCACCCTCCGGGTGCCTCCCCCTTCCCTCATTTCCCTGTACCCTTTGCCCTCTTTTTCTCTGATACCCACCCCCTCAGCACCCTCTGCTCCCATGCTTCTCATGACCCTGTGCCCTCACACATGCATTGCTCCATCTCCACCTTCCTGATGCCCACCCCTTCTTTCAAGCCTTCTCCCAGCCCCTCCCCCCTCCAGTCCCCAGTGCCGTTACCCTCCTTTCTCCCAGCATCACCCTGTTCTCCCCTCCCACTGACACCTCCACTCCTGCCCTATATCTCATTGTCTCCACTTAGCCCCCTGGGATTTGTTTCTCCTGCACCCCTGTCCCTTGGCGCTTTCCCCTTTCTTCTTCTTCTTCTCCTGACCACCTCTCCTTCCCTCCCCTCAGCACAAGCCTCTTCCCCATATTTTTCCCCTCTCCTCCTCTCCCCACAGCCCAGCCCAGCCCCGCCCCCTCCCCCAGGGACAGCTCTAGGTTTTTTGCTGCCCCAAGCAAAACATTCCCCTCCTTTTTTGTTTTCTTTTACACGTTTGCATTTTGCAATTTTTTTGTTTTCATTTTTGTCCCAGCATTTAGCCCTATAAATAGCAAATAGCATTTTCATTCATTGTTTTCCATAAAGGCAAAGGTGCTTCAAGTGAACTCCCCCTTTCTCTCGCTGCTGGGTCACAGCAGCCTTTTCCCTGGCCTGTCCAGCCCCTCCCTATGGACAAGCACCCCTCGCTCCCAACCCACAGGGGAAACAGGGTGCAGGGACAGCACAGAGCCAGAGGGGTGCAGGGAACAATGGGGGGGGGGAACAGGGGTGGCACGGGGAACGGGAGGCACACCGACCCACAGGGGAAACAGGGTGCAGGGACAGCATAGGAGCCAGAGGGGTGCAAGGAACAGTGGGGGGGGAGGGGACAGGGGTGGCACGGGGAAAGGGAGGCACAGAGCCAGAGGGACGCAGGGATCGGGGAGGGGGGGAGCAGTGTGTGGGGTGCAGTGGAGGCACGGGGAATGGGACACGGGGAACAGGAGGGGCAGAGGGATCGGGGTCTAGGGGCAGTGCAGGGAACGGGCAGCACAGAGCTGGGGGGGGCAGGGATCAGGGGAGAGCAGGGTTCGGGGTGCAAGGGCAGCGCAGAACCAGAGGGAGAGCAGGGGATCCTGGGTGGAGGGGCGGCGTGGGGAATGGGCGGCAGGAGCCAGATGGGGCGCGGGGCGGGCGCAGCGAGCCGGGTGCAGCGAGCTGGGCGGCTGGCCAGGAGCGGTCTCTCACCGATGAGGGGGCTGGGGCCGTGGCAGGACTGGAGCCAGAGGTGCAGGGCCAGTCCTCCCCTGCACTCGTCAGCTGGCAAAATCTACTCGCCGCGGGCGAGTGTATTTGTCAAGCCCTGGTTATATGCAACATGGGCAGGGGCTTGGGCTTAGTGTCCAAATATGCATCAGGGGTCCAGACAGGTTTGTATTTGTATGGCAGCTTGAGCTCCCTCCAGTTACACTTCTCTTGAGCATGCTAGTTCGAACACAGGTAGTACATGTCTGTTTATTTGTGCTGGGAAACATGCTTCCAGCTACAGTTTGGACCCATCCACAGTAATAATAAACAATATCCTAATCCACTTTGAAATCTGAGCATGGTTTGATTTAATTTGCTTAGAATTCAACAATGTTTGTGGAAATAGTGTTATATTAAATTATCTCTATCACTGATCTACACGTAGAAATACTTTTTAAAGTATTCATTGATCCTTTGAATTATTTTTAAAAGGATAGTGCACTCTAAGGCCATGTCTACACTAGGAAACTATTTCAAAATACCTAAATTTGACTTAATAATGCTCAATTTTACAAAATCAAAAGAGCATTTTACCTCTACAGGGAAGCCTCGAAAGTCCAAGGCAGGCTCTGTTAATGTGGATACCCCACCTCATCTTAGAGCCCCAGGAAGCACTGGGGAGTAATTAGTTCAAATTACTCTGGAGAGTAATTATTTTGAAATAGCAGCACCAGAGCATCCACACTAACACTATTTTGAAATAACTATTTAAAATTATTGTTCTCTGAGAAAAGCAGGAGTATAGATTTTGAAATATGTGGCCCCTTATTTTGAAATAACGGGCTTGGTAATGTGGACAGTCGGCTTATAAATTTGACCTAAGGAGGCATTATTTCTAAATAAAGCCCTACTGTAGACCATTGCTAAGAGAGATGCTTGGAATGCACTTCCCGAGGTGACCTATCAAGCTGTTGTTTTTTGTTCTTTAAAATGACACCGTCTTCTAAGATGCTGTTCATAAGATGGTGTTCATAAGTGGAGCAGTTATTTGTTTATTTGCTCCACTTTGCTGTGTCAGACACCTTTTGCTGAGTGATACATTTTTGTTTATCTTTTTGCTGTTCCCCTTGTTCTTCCTTTATGTGCATTCTTTTGTTTTGTCACCCTCTGTTTGCATTCTTTGGGGGGGACAGATCATATTTATTTCCCTGTTATATAGATTTACCTCACACGTTTAAAGTACTTTAGCACATTGGAGTTAGTTTAAAAAATTGAAAATTCAACGCTGATAATTTTGTTCAGAAAAAAAAAAAATCATTTGGTTTCCAATAGTTTTACAATTTACTTTCTGAATTAAATCTTCCAAAGCAAATGAAGTTAAAACTTTCATCATATTCTTGCCACAAGTGGAGGCAAGTTCAATAATAATTCTTATAATATTTATCATTAACACTGATCTTGTCCTGTGCAATAGCTGGACAGAGTGGATGAGTGAAGGACTCAATAGTATGTTATTACTTCAAATGCTTATTTTTGTAGCTTTGTAAGCTGTTCAATTAATAATGCATGCAAAGGGTATTCAAACACGCATTTTCTAAATCCCTTGGATAATGCAGACTTTAATGAGCTATACCTTAATGAAATAGACTGTAAACTGCAAATAGTGTTGCATAAAAACTGTAGCTGTATTATCGCTATTATATAGGACTAAATTCTCAGAAGTTACTGCTGATTTTGAATGACCCAGTTTTTGGGTTCTGAACTTGTGATAACTTACTTTGACCATATTTCCATAGTTTAGATTCTCTGCACTTTCAGAAAATCAGGCACTTTTAAGTTGGTTCAAGCTGACTACTTAAAAATTACTAGTCATATTTGAGAGACATTGTGGGTGAGTCTTTTCATGTTTATTCTTTTTCTTTTCCTTTCCCTCATGGAAATATAAACAGTTAAGTTAAAATAAAAATCTAGGAAAATAAACCTTCATGCCAATCACTATCTAATAGGACTGGAAAAATACTTCCCCTCTAGGCAGGTTGTCCTAGAATTGTCTAGAATAGTGATTCTAGTACTTAGCTTTTAATAATTTAATCTGGATCATTGCCAAAAACAGAATACTGGATTACATGGACTGCTGGTCTCATCTGGTATGATATTCCCATGCAACATTATAGCTTAGTCACAAGAACTGGAGTAACTTCATGGGCATATATGTGAGGGGAGTGGGGAAACTGCAACATTGCAGGAACTTGCTTTACTTGTCTAATTTCCTTTTCTTTTTCATTAGATGAAAGGATTGACTGGATTAATACAATACTGAATGCCTTGAAATCACAGTACAATACCTCACAAATTCGAGCTGCTGTCACTCCTGAGAAAAGTGGATACCTTGAATTAAAAGGATACAAAGCAAAAATATTTACTTTACTTCAGGGAAATAATGTGTGGCTTTGCAAAAATGAACAGGTAAATTTGTTCGTACATTCTTGTGAATCAATAATTGTAAAAGTGATAAAACTAGTGTTAGAAAATGATGCCACTTATTGGATGGTCACATTCTTATGTTTGATATCACACTTCATTGTTTTAGTTCTCAAAAGGCTTTTAAAAGCAAAATATGTCTCACCATTCCCATTGAACAATGGGGAAAAACAAACTAGTGAGAATATGTGACAAGCCCCAGGTATCTTTCTAGGTCAGCAGGAGAGTTCGGGTTAATTTGCTCTTTGTGTGTATGTTTTAAGCAATCTATCCATGGTAAAGATTGAGGATGATGTTGTATGCAATGGCTTAGTTCAGGGGTGGGTAATAATTTTTGGTGGGAGGGGGTCACTGCAAGATTTTGGAAAGTGGTCAAGGGCCACACTTTTCTGTGAAGGGGGTGAAGGGTTTAGGTTGGAGGTTGGGTGCAGAAGGGTGCACGGGATAAGGAACTGGGGTGCAGGAAACAGTGAGAGGTCTGAGAGGGAGTTTGGATGAAGGAAGGAGTTGTGACCTGGGTCTGGGATTGGGGTGTAGGGTCAGGAGAGAGTATGGATGTGGGAAAGGATTCTGGCCTAGGGGAGGAATGAAGGAAAATGCAATCTGGAGGGAGTTGTGATCTGGGGCAAGGAGGTACAGAGGATTTGGATGGTGACCTGGGAGAGGGAGTTGGGATGTAGGAGGGGCAGGGATGCCAGAGGAGAGTTTTGGTTGGGAGGCGCTTACCTAAGCATTTCCTAGCCAGTAGTCCTGCAGCACCTGCAAGGAATGCTGGGCTCCCTGCCTGCTGCAGCCCCAGATCGCTTAAAACTGCAGACTGCTTCTTCCATGTGACACTCCGCTCCGGTTGTTTCTGGCCAATAGGAGCTGAGGTTTGGGCTGGGAGCAGGGAGATCACACAAAGCCTCCCCTTCCCTCCAGAGCAAAAAGCCACATGGAACAGTACTCTACTTAAGAGTGGCTGCTGTATGCCTGAGGGTCCTGGCAGGGTGGCTTGCGGGATGGATCCGGTGGTTTGGTGGGCCAGACATATCTTGCTCACCCCATCTTAGTTACTGGGACTTTAAAAGAGGACAGGATGAACTGCATGTGCTTTTGATTATCTTATTTAAATGGTCTCTCTGCAACATTTTAAAGAACTGTCTGTATTTTAAGAAGTTTGATGTCATCAATGTCGCCTATTGTGCACTGCAAAATTTTAAATAAGCAAGATAAAATAACAGCAAATTACTAACTGGAAACGTTAGTTCTGCTCATAAAATCCAGTGATTTGTCCACACATATTTCCTAGGATAATACAATATTAGTAAGGGAAATAGAGTTCCTGGGTGTGTCAGAGATATTACTAGCTGGAATTATCAGGAAAGTCCCAAGGGGAAGAATCAAATGAGTTGGGTTTCTTTTTCTTCCTCTCTGCCATTCCTCCCTCCAAGGTGGTACCTTTGTACTGTCACAACCTTGTTCTCTTTTGATCTCCCCCAACCCCCACTTTCACTGGGGGGAAGGGAGATGTCAGCTGACAGTCAGGGCAGTGTGTGTGTGTTAGTTACTGGGAAAAGGTTTAACGTCCATGACTTTACCGCTAGGACCGGGGTCCCGTCGCGGAGGGCAGCCAACAGGCTGACAGATGCCCCAGAGTTTATAGGAAGAGCTTATTACATCTCAGATTTCAGCTGCTAGGATACAGGATCCCTTCGCAGAGGGCAGTCTAGGGAAGACTGAGAGATGCCCCAACGGATCTGTCACCTGGGAGTGACGCGATCCAAAACGCCCAACCTCTTCCTATACCTGTCCCTTATGACTGGCTGAAGTTCTTTTAAATTGTGCTTGGTTCTGTTACAGCAACTGAAGGAGTCAGGTTAAAGCTTAAACAGTTACAGGTTTATTGTTACAGGGTAAACTTAGCTGTTAAATGCTACTACTGTGTTACAAATAACACAGCCACTACAAAGGACAGGACTGCAATTACACTAATAAGTCACTTACAGGTACCATGAAACCCTTTTGGTTCTCTGAGCTCTTATTAAATGCATGCAAAATAGACACCTAGCAGGTATATATTCTCACCCCTGCGTTCCAGACTTGGCGTGGCCAGCGTCTTTCTCTCAATCCCTCGGGAAGAAGTAGGGCGAGGTTGGGCGTCCCACAGACCTTGGGAGTCAATCAATCCCTGCCAGCAAAATGGGGTGGGCTACTAAACCTCTCTTTATACCCCTTGGGTCACGCAGGCTTCCTGGTCTCAAGTGGCCAATTAGGAAAAACGGCTTTGAACGCCAAGTTTCCCACGAAGGGTACAAAGCATGATTCACACCTGGGAAAATGCAGACAATGGGCACCTCTGGTATGTGATGGGTGAAGATTCCTCTCCTGGGACAGTGCAGGCGTGTCAATTACTGGTGCTAGCCATAGGGCAGCGGGAGGCCCCGGGTCCTCAGCTAGCCCATTTATTGTCTGGTTTCTGTTTATGATAGAGTCAGGGACAGGGAGCACGCCTGTGTTCCCAGGGCATCAAAGGCTGACTGCCTTTCTCTTGCTCTTTGGGGGAGGGGGGGGGGAGAAGGGGAGAACAAGATGGGGTTCATGTCTGGCTACAGGAGGGTAAAAGGATTGAAAGAGAATAAGACAGTCAGATTTTGACAAACCCAGACATGGTGACAGGCAGGCCTCATGAGCATAGGCTTGATAGAGAGCTCTTTTACTGGATAAAATCTGTTTTTTCACTCATAGTTTCATGTTTCAAATAAGACTTAGGATAGTCAATAGGGTTGGTCAATCTGTAATTGACTGTCATTGCATTCAACTTACCTTTTTCCCTGTACTATGTAGATTTAGATTTGTTCTGGGACCTATCAGGTATTTGGAATTAGATCCAACCATTCATTCCTATTCTGGGCACTGAGATTCAAGAAGGAATTTCTCTCTCTAATCTCATATGCAGTGTTTGAAGTTATGTGTAGGTAAGTTAATCTAAGATTTACCAGATGCATTTTGTGTGGTACACTATCAAAACTAATTGATTTGGGCAAAATTGTGGCTCAGTTCATTGGTTTTACTTAGGCTTATCCCAGTGCTAACCTATGTTGTGGATAAGATAATGAGTGGCAGCTACTTCTTATTTTTATTTTGGTATTTATTTCTCCAGAGGGAAGGTTTGTTCTAAGGTTTCACCAAAGAAAACAGTCTTGTTAGCTGGTCTGTGGGACATTTAGGGCCTCCATGATGATTCAGTCATGACCACCCAGGATCCCCCGCTCTCCCTCTGGTTCTGCGCTGTTTCAATAAAGGTTCAGGCCAGTGGCCTTTTAAATACAAAAAGTTGTCAGTATACCAAGTACCATTTGGGAATGTATGCACTGGCTTGATTGTTTTCATTTCCCCCCTGCAGAAAAGTCCCAATCTTGCAACTTTTTATATCCATCATCTTCAGGGTGATTCCATGTGAGAACAAGACCTGCCCAAATGCAACAAGTTGCAGGACTGGAGCCTCTTTTGAGTCTTGCACCCTTCTACAAAAGTAATAGTCCAAGCTGCAACATCAGCTGTTAAGAGACTATATTTTATCATGTTCCCGTTTTCAATCAAATACATAACATTTTTGTATCACTTCACCCCACTTTACCTGCCTCATTGTCATTGACCTAACATCCTGTTTTGTTATCCAGATAGCATTTGGGCATGTCTTTCACAGTGAGTGGCACGAGTGTTCTACTAGCATCTTTCCTCAAGTTTTTAAGGCAAAGGTTGGGGACAAGCTAACACTGCATTGAACGAGGAACAAATGGAAGTTTAGTGCCATCCTGACATACTTTAAAGACAAACTGTTATTTAGAGTTGAAACTTTTAAGCAGTTTTCAAAGTACTTGTGACTGTAGCTCTGCCCTATTTGGGACTGAGTTGTTTTGACTAAAGAAACAAGCACATTTTTTAGCAAGTACACATTAGTTTAACCTGCAAGTACAAATGCAGATACATTTATAAAGGCAAATAGTACACATTTGAGACTAGATTAGTTGAAAAAGTGTGTTGCCCCGATAGTCAGGTTCAGCTTTATGAAAATGCTCAGGACTTAGTAGCTCAAAGTGAGAAGAGTGGAAGCTCTTGATTGCTGAGTTCTTTTGAAAACCTGGTCCTAGATGTTGTAATCTGTTTGCATCTGCAGTTGATTATGCCAGCAACACTGGAGTCCTGGTTTGATCCCTGTTTTTCAGGAGGTTATTATTATTATTTTATTATTAAGGATAGGAGAAAACACAAAGCCCCAAACCTCTGTTATATTTATTTAGAAGATCAAAAACAAGTTTTCAGAAAACATTCTTCTAGTCATTATGTTTTATTCATGCTCTAGCTTACTGTTCTTTTGGTTTTTTTTTTCTCCCCTCTGTGGCTATATTCTTTTTCAGACTTCCTTTAAATCTCCTCATTTTCCCAGATATTTTTCTGCTTTTGTCTTCCCTCCTTTTTCATGCATTCTGATGTTTACTACATTTTCCTACTTACTTAATCTCTCATTCTTTCTTCCGTATAAAACTTATTTTTATGTTTCTTCTCTTGTTTTTTCCTATTAGCCAGAAGTCATTTGAAATAGTGTGAAAACAAGTTGCTGTGCTGTTTCTTTTCTTCTTATGTTTTTTTCAGTGGCAAGACAGTTCCCTCTTTGGCATCACAGGGAAGGAAATAATTTTAAGGGATGGAGAGTTTGAGGGGATTCCATGAATATTGTGCATTATATACAAGTGTATGGAAAATAAATATAGTAATTTATATAGATGAAGATAAATGGTATGGATGGAACATGGCTGTTCCCATCTGGAACTCCTTGGTATCATAAGCTAACTCAGCCGTCCTCTGAAAAGACATGATCTGTTGAATTGGACCTAAGTGCTGGAACTTATCATAGAATACTAGGACTGGAAGGGACCTCGAGAGGTCATCGAGTCCAATCCCCTGCCCTCATGGCAGGACCAAATGCTGTCTAGACCATCCCT